CTTTTTTATAGACCATAGATTAGTTTATTTTTAACACCCATCATGCCATGAATTCATAGAGAATAGGTTCCAGTAGCTCAGGCTCCTTTCCATTGGTTCTCACAAAGTGTGCTTCTCTGGGTGGAGCAGGCTGGCGCTTTAGTTGAACCCAGGTACCTTTCTCTTTGGCTTCTTTCTTTTTCTTGTCATTTTCCTTCACACATTTTAGGAAGCTATCTCTGCTCTTAGAATGTTTAATATGCTCAATACGCACATTGATTCTCTTGGCAAGAATCTTGCCCTTAACTTGTTTGTTCACAACAATGCCAACAGCATGCTAGGTAACATTGTAGACTCTTCCAGTTTTACCATGGTAACATTTGTGGGGCATTCCTTTTTGAACAGTACCCATTCCCTTAATGTCTACAATATCACCTTTCTTGTAGATTCGCATATATGTCGCCAAAAGAACAACTCCATGTTTTCTAAAAGGCCTAGAGAACATACATCGGGTGCCTCTCCTCTTTCCCGTTGTGTTCGTCCCTTTGTGTTCGTCATTTTGGTTCGTTACTGGAAGATGGCGGTTCCAGCCAAAAGCCTTAATGCTTTCTTGACATCTCCCGTTGGAAGTCTCAAAATTAACCAGGTTAAATGAGAATTTTTTATTTTCTTTGTCTCTCAACCTGTTTCTGCCCCTGGGTAAATGAAACTATTGTTAACCTAGCTGCCTGAGTGAAAAACCTGGGTTTTATCCCCCATCTCTACTTCTTCAGCAGGTCCTAATTATTTTATCTCCAGAACCTATACTAAATCTATCCACTTCTCTTCGTATCTACTGCTGCTGTCCTAGACCAGAGTACCACCGTTATCTCACCTGAAAATCAAATGGCTTCATGATTGGTCACCATTTATTCACTATTGCCTCTTTCATAATCCACATAGCTGCCAAAATGACATTGTTAAACCTTCACTAGGTCACATCAGTCCTTGCTTGAGTCAAGGAATGTATATATCACTATTTTAAGTTATTTATTTTCATAAATCTTTATTTTCTGTCTCTTATTGCAATGTAAATCCCTCAAATCAGGAAAGTTGTTTATTTCATTTATTCACCTTATCTCTAGCACCTGCAGCCATGCCTGGCACATAATTTGCACTGAGTAAACCTCTCAATAATAACTAAATTAATACTATTATGTATTACTATTATAGAAAGGAGATAAGACAGCAAAAGTCAAAATGCCGACTTTAGTGTGGTCGCTAATAACAGATGGTGCTGACGTCTGTGTGTGCAGAAAGATGGTGGTTTCTTTTCCATTCCCATGTCCCAGGAAGGGTAGATGTTGTCACTAACTATATTTATATTTGTCTGTGAATTGGTCAGCTGGGTCTGGTTCCTGGTGCAGTCTGACATGAGCAAGAAAGAGCTCCATCTCTGTTCAGAGGTCCATGGAAGTCCCAGATCTTGAAACTTTTGTCCTTCGGCTGTTAGAGAAGGAAGAAAGTATTCTCCTACAAGGTTACTTCTCCAAGCTAGCCTTGGGGAGCTTAATAATGGAAAGAAACATTGTAGAACTCCAGGGTAGAGAAAGTCCAAGCAGTCTCTGGCAACCAAAGAACATTTTTTAACGTGTCTTTTCCAGCACTTCTTTATGCTTGTCAGCCGGTACCATTGGCGTGCTGTTATTAGCCCTGCTATTGCTTGGATCTACATGTGAGGGAAATAAAGCTATCAATTCATCAGAGTCTGCCGAACTCTGAGTTACTTCTGTTCCCTCTGGTACTGCTCAACCCTAGCAAGTGGCCAGCTACTTGGTACTGGCTGGATTTAAAAAATGAAGTTAATGCTTGCTTTGCTGAAGTATGTATTTGGAGACTTCTTTATACTGGTGTGTTCATATTAGACCTGAATGTATAGCCTTGTTTCCCATCTTCCCAGTGCTGTTCCACCATTTCCTTGTGTTTGTCATTATTTAGCATCTACTATGTACGGAGGGCCTTGCTGGGACCTGGAGAGACAGGATGAGTTAGATACATTCTCAGCCTTCAGGGACTCTAAACAAGTGCCAAGTGGGCAGACCCAGTAAATAAAAACTGAAGTATGGTAGCTATTTGCAATAACAAAGAAGTATGAGAGCGATGAGAGTAGCAGGCAGCGGAATCTAGTTGGAGGGACATGTGGTGTAGGCATTAAGAGTGCAGGCTCAGGGCCGGCAGGTGGCATGGTGGTTAAGGGCTGGATCCCACGTGACCAACTCTGTAGTTGAGTCCTAGACCCAGTGGCCTGAAAAACATGCCAGGTGCCTGTGCATGCATGCCCAACAGGAGAGTGGAGCACAAGGGATTGTGGCATTGGCATCCCCCCTTGGGAGGGGTGATTTCCTCACTCTCTGTTTCTCTTTGTCTTTCTCCAGTAAATGCGCACATCCTGTAGCAAACACTAAGCAACAACAATGACAAAAAGTGCAGGCTGTGGAACAGATTGTCTGCATTCATAATATGCGCTGTCATTTATGAGCTGTGTGACTTTAAGCTATTCACTTGACCTCCATGCCTCAGTTTACCTACATGCTAAATGGGTTAATAAAGGAATCCACCTTGTAGAATTAAAAAGCACTTTGGACCCCATAAAACCAGCTTGGATTTTTATCGATAATAGGAGTACATAATTGTTGAATGAGTTGAATGAATACTACTTTCCTACTGTTAACTGCAGAGAATGTGTTCTTAAGCCAGTCTGTGGAACACACAAAGGCTTTGCGGAGGCGAAGGCAGAATGATACTGTAGGGCAAACATGTGCTTGACAGGGGGTGGGGGGAACAATCTGTAAAGGCACAGAGGCACAGAGGAGTGTTTAGGGACCCAAGAATAGGTCCGTGTGGCTGAAGGAAAGGATGCCTGGGGGGGAAATGACAGGAAGGAGGTGCTTTTAGACTGGGCTAGGAACTTGGCCTTGATCCTAAAACCTGGAGGAAGCCATGGAAGGACTTTCACCTGGTTTAGGGCTTGCCAGGTGAGACTAGATGGCAGTGCCTCGCAGTGACCTCAGCTCATGGGCTGTTGATTCTAAACAGTGTCACTGACCAGCTTCCTTCCCTGTGATGTGGACAGGGAGTTTGCAGGGGTGGATCTCCTTTTACTCCCTGGGTGTGATTTCTTTGGGGTTCATGGAGTAATGAAATATAAAAAAGATGTTTGTTTTGTTTTATTCTTACCTACTTGATTTTCCTCTGTAACCCTGTGCCCCTGCTGAGACAGATCCAGACCTCACTGAGACTCTGCTGGCCCCTTCCCTCAGAAGAATCACAAAAATAAAATTACCCTGAGACCCTGTGTTAACCTCCCCCTCCATCTCCTTATTAGTCATCCAGACAGACCCCAGGCCCAGTGCTTTTTTTGACCCCAGGCCTGCTTGTAGTTTCTGTGCTCACACCCCAAATTGTTTTTAATTTAATTTGGTAGCCCATCTAATAACTCTTCCATCTGCTATCACTGCTGTTAGCTAATCACATTATCGTGAGAGCAGACATGGATCATTTGAGGGTCGTAATGAAAACTGAAAGTAATTGTCTTATTTTGAGCTGTTCGGATTTAATTGTGAGCATAGTCTCTAAGAGCAGGGGCTCCGGAGGCTGATCACTTAGGTTAGAATCCCAGCTCTGTCACCATCTTAAATCCTCGGGGAAGTGGCTTAGTCTCTCTGTGCCTCAGTCTCCTCATTACCAAGTGACCAATCATATACTATTCTTGTAAAGTTATTATGAGGATTAATTGAAGTAGCATGAGAACATGCCAGGAACCATCCCTGGCAAACTGTAAGTGCGGTATAAATATTTGCTGTCACTACATTAGGATTTCTTTTGAAATTACATCATCGAGTGGGGGAATGGAAGATTACTGGGAAAAGGAAGATAGCTAGATAAAACCATCTGCATTTGACGCACTTTGGAGACCTGCCAGAACCTGAAGGCCAAGAACTGATTCCCTCGATCTGTGCTGTCTAGTAACTAGATTAGTAGCCTCTAGTCATGTGTCACTATTGAGGACTTGAATGGGTAGCCCAAGTAGAGAGTACTGGACCATGAAAATTTAGTATGAAAAAATAACTCATTGGTAGTTTTACATTGATTACATGTTGCAGTGCTGATCTGGATAAATGAGATTAAATTAGATAAAATATTAATTTCATCTGTTACTTTTTTTTTTAAGGAACTACTGGACTATTTAATAGTATATATGTGGCTTGTGTTACATTTCTTTGAACAGCACTCCTTTAGGCTCACCATTCTCAAAGAGCCAAAATGTGTGGTTATTTACCTGATCAGGTGAGCATTATTTAAAAGCCTATGTACACCTATTGCCCTTCGAGTTAGGCTAGACCAACAGTTTTGATTTTTTTTAAAGAGGTTTTGCCACAGGGCATGTGCTCTCTCCAGACAGAGACAGAGACGGTGAGAGAAAAAGTGAGAAATCTCCCCCCACAGAGGAGATGGCCACACCACAATCCCTTCTCCTCCATTCTTTTCCTGGGATCTTGGGTATGCATGCACACGTGCCTGGCATGATTTTCAAGCCACCGGGTCTGGGACTCAAACTGCAGTTGGCCATGTGGGAGTCCAGCAATGTAATCTCTATGACACCTAGACCAGCAGTTTTTTAATTGGTTCTATAGAAGGAGCCAGGGTGTGGTCCTAACAGAAGGCAATTAAAGACCAAAACAAGAGTACCGACTGGAGAGGCTTTCACTGACATGGAGGGGTTTGGATGAAAACACTGCCATGTATAGTTATACTGGGCCTAGTCTCTCAGCATGAAGCAGAGGAGAGAATGCTCTCATTTCAGGAAGTTGAAATAAGTGGGAGAAAAACACTCCCTTATTCCATCAGGAGCCAGAAAAAGAGTTGTGTTAATCTTTAACTAAGAGAATAAATGTTCAGCCTTATGGCAGTTCTTTGGGTTCGAAAGCATACTCTTTCCAAAGGTGATTTACTTATAGGATGTTTGTTTCATTCTATTTTAGATTCATTCCGCCACTTAAATCTGAAAACGCTGGACCATATAAGTCTTACGGGTAAGTTCTTCATGTTTAAAACAAAAAGACTGTTTGACATTATTTTTGAAAGGATATTCACAGTTCTAAGTTAGATCCATTCCTAACAGTTCTATGATTAGATGTCTATTTCTTTGTACCTTTTCTCCCTCTGAAGTGATTTACGATGTTTCCATGCCTTATAAAAACAGAATGACCCATGTTCTTTTGCTAAGAACATGGCAGGAAAAAGATCCGTGATTACAGGCCAGATGCTATTAAAATAAAAACTTTCTTTTTGGTAATGAAACTATTTCCAGGCCGCTGTTGATGGTCTGCTTATTTCAAGCAGTATCCAAAACAGCAAAGTGTTCCTTTAGCCAAGGCATTCAGTCGGTCTCTTGCAATGTGTGGTAATGAGAACAGGCTCATAGCTATTTCACATTAGGACTTTCCTCGTTCTTCCTGCTCTGTTTTTTCCACTCATCTCATCTAAATATGACTGCTGTGAGTTTACAGTTCAGCTATGGTAGAAAACTTCTTTTAGATCTAGGAAATAACATTTTTTTAAGTAAAAAGTCTTCTGGGACTTCATGTGACATTGCTTATGGATATTGTGCCTTTACTGTGACTTATAGTATGTATCAGTTAGCTTTTGCTGCATAACAAACTATCCCAAAATTTCCTGGCTCAAAATAACATTCATTCATTTATCTCACAATTGTGTAAGTTGGTGATTTGGACTAGACTCAGCTGCAGCTAATCCTGTGTCTGCAGTCAGCTGTAGGTCTGTATCAGCTAGACTTTGTTTCTGTGGTCACCACCTGTCAGGTAGAGTCATAAGAGAATTAAGCTACATCTCTCAACCTCCTGCAGGTTACACTGATTTGTTCACATGGTGTCTAGGCAGGGTACTAAAAAAGTGTGAGCACATGCAAAAGCATTTTGAGGCCAAAGCTCAGAACTTGCATCATATTGCTTCCACTACATTTTGTTGCCTTAAAGCAAGCTATTGAGTTGTCGGAAAAGTCAAGATGCATTTTTGCATAGAGAAATACGTCATGACTTTCCTGGCTAGCCTGGGTTCAAGAGGTATAGATACAGATTCTACCTCTTGATGAGGGAGCTATAGAATCCCTTACAAGGAGTGTGAATCCAGGGAGAGGAAGAGTCGTGACTATTTTCGTAACCTACCATAGTGTTTACAGGTCACACGAAAACAGCTGGGTTAGAATGAAGAGCATGGAGGGCAAGAGACTCAGATGAGGCTCCCGTCTCGTGACCCATCCTGTCGTCCTATTCTGATTGTCAGCACCCTAGAATCCTAGTCGCCTTCCTTGCCATCTGGCATCTCCATCAGTTCAACAGGTTCCTGGGTAGTTTTACCAGTACCAGGTTTTCCACCCACCAGCCCTCCCTCATTCTACACAGCACTGCCACCTGGTCATCTTTCAGTTCTTTCAGAATGTTACTCCTCTACTTAGAACCATCTGGGCCTCCCTCCAGACCACCCGCTACATGAACCTGTCTGTATCCTCCACTCTCATCACTTCTCTGGCCTACCCTCTTTTGTTCACCTCCCATTATTCCCTTTATTCTTGCCAGACGAATCAATTCACTGTCTCTTTTAAAGCCATCTCATTTTACTTACCCCTTATTTACCTGGAAATCCATCCCGTTTCACAAGGCCCAGTGAAATCTTCCGTTCTCTGTGACTGGGCCTTCCTGTCTGCTTTTGCCATCTGTGATCTCACCTGCATTGACCTCTTTCCAAGCCAAACAGCGTCTTCTGTGATTCACTCTGTTTCCACCTTGGCTAGTCTAACCTCCTTGGTCACTTTGTTAGCTCTTTGAGAGCAAAAGGCCTTGGGCACAGTATTTGTTGACCTACCAGCAGCTCGTCAGAGTTACATGAGGCACTTGTTGAAGCACAAACGATATAGCTCTTCCCCTGAGCGCTCCTCATTATTAGATCGGGGGTGGGCCCCGGACATCTTAAAGCATTCAGGTGATTCTGATATGTCTGTTATGAAGTTGGCAACCACTTGTTATGAAATGAACAAGAAATTTATATGTGACTTGGATTTGAGCCCAGCTCTGGGACCTTACAAACTCAAGCTATAGTCTCCTCATCTTGTAAAATGGGAATAATATTTAATTTGACGAATGCTCAAAGATCAAAAAGGTAATGAATGCTGAGTGCTTTATAAACCATAAAATGTCATTGAAATGCATTACTGATTGTAGATCGCTTGTTAACCAATATTATTAAAAAGGCAGTTACCCACGTGGTGGTGGTAGAGGACCAGGCAATGAGTGTTGTGTACTAGTAGTGGGACTTAGAATAGTAACAGCCACAGTAGTAACTAGTGTCTGCTGTTTACCAAATGCTGGCTGTGTGTCAGGCACTGGGCTCACTGCTTTACATAGAATTTGATTTTTATAGGAAGATTGCCCTATTTGGTTACATCTGGAATTAATTCATTTCTGTGGTGTTTTCTTTTTCATTTTCAAAATACCTGGTTAAAATATTTCTGTCCTTCAGAGAGGAAAGATGCTCAGCTGTTATCAACCACTGGCTACTTACAGTCCAGCACAGAGGGGAGGGTCTGAACAGGTGTGAAGCATTGTAACTTGATGGAGGAGTTGGGGAAGGGCAAGCAGCCAGTAGTATTAGAGAGTGGATGTGGATGCTCCGGAAAGGGCTGGAGGGTGCCCGGCTGTCCAGGGAAGCGGGAAGGTAAGCAGGCGGAAGGGAGAGGGGAGGGGAGGACGGAGATATGTGCTGACTTGACAGTTTGGCAGGGCTGTTCCTGTTCAAGGCCACCACCTTCTCAACCTGCTCCCTGGGAGTTTTCCTGTAAGGCCTACCACACAGGCAGCACTTGTGAAGTTGTGCTCCACTCCCCATCTGATTCGCTTTATGTTATTTTGATTTCTGTTGGTCTGGCGTATATGCCTATCTTCCTTCAAAGATTTTTGAGGTGGCTTTTAAAAATATGTATAATCTTGGGGCCAGCAGGTGGTGTGGTGGTTAAAGGTGCTGGATTCCCACATGGCCAGCCATGGTTTGAGTCCCAGACCTGGTGGTTTCTCGCTTTCCCTTTCTCTCTGTCTGTGTCTCTCTGGTCAAATTTAAAAAATAATAATAATAACAAATGGAATTAAATAAATAAATACAATTTTTTAAGTGTATAAACTAATGAGATTTGTAAAAAATAAGGAAAGATTTAGATAAGATTAGGTCCCGATGCATGGGAGAGAACATAGTTGCTCACCATCAGGTCCCACAGGCTTGCCTTTGAGCTTCAGAGCACTCAGGACCAGGAGGAAAATGTGCTCAGTTAACAAGTCACAGTGACCAGAAGATAGAAGCATCCTGCTACTCAGAAGCAACAAGGGTAGTCATGGTTCTAGACCCAGAGGTTCTAGACTCCCTGGAGTGCTTGATAAGAGGATGCCACCATGAGGACCACCCTAGGTGTAGGTGAGTGCAGCCCAGGAAAAGCCCTGCTGAGCAGGCACGTGTTTCTCTGTTGGCTTTCTGTGATCCAAGAGTGAAATATAATTGCTTCTTCTGAAATAGCAAATACGTATATTCACATTCCCCCCTTTCCACCCACCTCGTGATGAACTTCGGAGGCTGTCATGCTCTCTTGATGCGGAGCCTTGGCATTTGGCCATGGACGAGATTTGGCACCGAAGTGGAATCAGCTTACCATCTCTGTTCTAAAAGAATAACAAACAATTCCTCGCAGTCCTCCGTGAACATTAGTTCTCTCCATTCCCACATCCTTCTGCACTGTGACTCAGTCTGTGACATGGCTTTTCAAAACACCGATCTTACCCATTCGCCGCTGTGAGCTGTGTGACCCTCATCCTGCTCCATGTGTGTCTCGCTCTCTGTTCTGAGACCCATGGCTCTACGTCGTCATCTTTGCATTTTGTAAAATGATAACATGTGCATGAGCTGGAGAACGTGATAGGGAGCGCCCTCAGCAGGTTCTCATCATACTGCAATCCCATCGCTCAGCCCTGCAGCTCCTCAGGGTCATGGGGACTTGTGTCCATGCAAAGTGTTTTTCATGCTGACTCCAAAATTCAAACCCATGGTTGGCCATGTGGCTTTCAGCCTTACAGGGCATTAGTGCTTTAGAAGCTGGACCATCTAAGTCATTTCTTACCCTAGAATGTTTAATACCTTGTTGGGGAGTTTGAGAGATTCACAAGACTTGACTCCAGGAATTGGATAGTAACAAACTAAAACCTGGACTACTGTTACTGGGTCTCTCTTTCATTGGTGACTATAATGTTTATTACAAGAGGTAGTTTCTGATGGGTAAGATCAACTGTTGGTCAGAGGATGGTGGGAGCAATGTTAAGCCTAGATTTTTTGCAGGAATGTCATAAGAAAAAAATCTAATCTAGTCAAGATCGTTGTCTGAGAAAAGCCCAGAATTTTGTAAGACTACTCATTACAGGGAATTTCCTTTTGAACTTTATTTTCCTTTAGATCAGGTTTATTCGTTAGAATTATATTGGTTGAAAGTATCAGAAATCTAACTTAATTTCTTGACTTACATGATGGACATGTCCATGCCGGCCTGGGTGAGTAGACACAATTGTATCTGGGTTTTAAGAGATACCATGAGGCCATTATCTTTCACTCTATTTCTTGTTTCTGGTTAACTCTGTCAACTTCATTCTCAAGTCCATACCTCCTCACCATGGTGGGAGGGGTAGTTATCAGAGCTCATTTTCCATCATTCTCACAGCCATAGATCTCAGTGGAGAGAGTGCTGTCTTTCGTGGTAGCTCTGATGATAGTACCAGGGAGGGATGTTTTGCCAGGACTTGTTCATGTGTCCCACAGAAAAAGGTTAATCCAACTAGAATCACATGGAATGGGTTCCCTATGGAAAAAAAAAAAAATCTACGGGGTGTGGAGGATTATAAGGAGGAGGTAAGGAAAGAGGATGCCAGGCAGCTACAGTTTCTAGGTACCAGAGTGCACTGGTTTAGAAATTCTTAAATTGCAGTCC